CCCCAAAACCCCAAAACCCCAAAACCCCAAGCCACTATAAGATTTTGAATATTTTCGGTGAATATTGATCATTGATGCTCACTTCTGACCGTTAGTTACTAAAATATTTAGCAATAGCTGGGAGAATAAAGGGATGGTTGCTAGAGGGTTTAAGTGGTGAAGGGGAGTTGGAGAGTTAGTTTATTGGGAGGATTAGAGGTAGATTTTGGAGAAGGGGTTTGGATGAAGAGGAATTTTAAGAAAAACTTCAATTTTGGGTTTTATGGGGGAGTTAGAGGTGAAAGAATGATTTTTAAGTAGGATAGATTTGGAAACTATATATTTGAAGTGGTCTTAGTTTTCTGGGAGGCTTTTTGAAGTGAGAAGATGGTAGGAATTCAGGGATAAAAATTCATAACTTTAGTGTCTAGCATTTAGATTTCTAAAAGTATTCTTTGAAGTCAGAACTATAATTTTTCTGCAAGTTATATCATACTCTTAAAGACACAGAAATGTTCATGATGCGATTCATGAATTATAATAAGAATAATTTTATGATATGTATACAAGTTTTTAAAAACATTCATAAAGGAATAACAACTTCCGAAAATCTTCGATAACCAGATTTTTGTCCCAACACAAGCAATGAGCTTTCATAATGATACACCAACTTAGAAATAAATTAGAAATGATTGCACAAACAAGAGCTAGGCAATTAAACAACAATATTGGGTCTAAAATAAGGAAGACCTTTCCTTTTCTTTGCCAAAATTATCTTAAATGAACCTCCAATTTATCCGTATCAATAACTTTTGAAAGCTTATGTGTTTCAATGCCTTGAAGATCTCTGAACTTTGGTTGACTATTAACAGCTAGACAGTCTATAAAATTCATAGTCTTATAAAAATATCTCATTCATAATAAAATCGTCAAAAAATCGACTCAAAATATTTGGTAATATGGAGTCAGTTCGACCTTCAAATTTATGGGTAAAGACATGAGCATGGATTTCAAGTTACCTGATTCGAGCATCCTTGATCTTTCATGCTCTAGAAATTATTGAGGAGATTTTGAGTATTATTCTCTCGAAATCTACCGGATTTTTAAGAATTTTTCTAAATGAGTGAACATTATTAGCTTCTAGACTTATTATTTCACCTAAAAATACTGATATGTATTAGCTGATAGTTTACCAAGTAGGTAGGATACTCAGACCATTTCATAACTCACAGTAAAAGGTCAAGCCCTGTTGGAGGCAATTATTGGTCTGTCCCACAATTAGAGAGTTAAGAGCTAGCCCTTAGCGTATTTTATAGTAATCTTGATAAATTTAGGCCATTTAGAACCTATGATTTGGATACTGATAGTTTAACTCTATGAATAATTCGTATTCAATAGAGATTTGAGAAGACTTATAGCTACAATAGTTTAATAGTTGAGAGAGGATGGTTATCAACACGTACAAAGAGCCTGAAAGCCAAGAAATCCAAACAGTAAATTCAGTATTATTTGGAAGCCTCTAATGGGCATTTTTATTATTTATTGCTAATTGCTCATAAAGTCATGAGATATACTTAGACATAAGATTTGATTTCAGGGGCTCTACATCAGGAATTAATAATTTTTAAGGCACTAAGAGGCTATAGCAACTGTAAATTATAAGCAATCGCATTAAATAATGTGTATTCTAATTGAACATATTTATAAAATACAGTAAATTAACAACTAAGAAATTTCATTTCTCCAATCCCTTGGACGAGCCTCATCATAAGTGATACACCCACTCTATGCATTATCCAATGACTCAGGGCTGAAGGTAGGGATATCTCTTGGTGTTCGCATGGATAGACAACTAATGAAGCCCCATTATGAGATTTTAAGGCATTGGAATTAATTCGAATCGAGCTATGAATTGATTCCCACTAGTTTAGAAGGATTCCTTCATCCTGGTTATAGTCTCAGCACTCTATAAACACCAAACATAATTAGGAAATGTTCATTATTCTCAGTCATTAAAAAATTTCGAATTTTTCTGAATCAAAGTATTGACCAAATCTTTAAATTTCTGCTAATTAGGGTCCCAAATCTTATTTTTGAATAATTCTTGATATTTTATTCAGCTACGGATGAGCCTTAACGACCTTCACATTTTGGAGAACAATACTGTACTACAAAGGCATCATCGGTCTTCTAGAAGTCTTGGCTTGCCAAACAGGAGGATTTCGAACAAAGTGTCTGCATAAAGTTGAAAAAGATTGAGAGCTTTGGAAATCTATTTGCTCCAATTACTCTAAACTTTCATGAAAAATCATGCTAAAAATGAGTACTAATAACAGTCTAACTCTTTTCCCAATAAAATTTCACACTTCAGTGAAGGAAGAATGCAATGCTAGAAGGATTTACTGATCTAACTGCAACACTATAATTACTCCAGTGTCCTCTCTAGGCAGAATTTGAGTTGTCGAATTAACCACAGACAGTTGTTTCAAAATCGAACTAGAAATTTATATTTTTCGTAATCAACTCCAACATTGGAAATGAAATATTAATGCTCAGTAGGAGTGATTGCTAGAAAGAGTAACAGCTTTAAGAGTCATTGCTTGGAGTCTCCAAGAAATATTAGTTTGAAGCTCATAGACTACCACCCCAGTAACGAAGTATGTAGATATTGTCCTTGCTACTATTTAAAGAATTATTTTTCGAGATAATTAATAAATTAAAAAACTATCATGGAACCTACTTATACACACGATGTGAAAGGAAACGCTGGCGAGCTGAAGGATTATGGCCATATACAGGGCCAACGTCTATTCACTAGCAATAGCATCCAACTTGATGCTGCGAATCTGTTGGAAATGTACTGATTTTGCGATTATAGTCTTTCGGTGTACTGACATTGAAAACCTTCTTGCTCTTTCGGTGGTGAAGGTGTAGACTTTAATGCTCCAGGATGGAGTAACAATGAAGACCAATTGGTACTCTCAAACAGGACCCAAACCAATAATTGAAGAAGGCCATTATCAGATGGAAATAGAAGAGTCTATCTTCGAACAAAATTAGAGTATTTGCATCATTTCTTGCAGACTGTAGAAGACTCTTCAAAAATACTTGTGAATGGAAAACCCAAAGTAAACTGCAAACTTCCAAGAATTAGTTCTCGCAGGTCTCACTACACCGGGGTATTTAAAAATAATCTGAGATGGCAGGCTTTCGTCAACATTCGTAACAAGAAAACTTATATTAAGACTTGCACTACTCAAGAAGAAGCAGCCAGAGCTTTTGACTGAGTGTCTCTTCTTCTTAACAGAAAGGAGGCTGTGACCAATTACAATTATTCACAAAGTGACATCTATTCGCTTTTTGATGACCATGCTGACATAGTTAATAAATTTTGCTCATAATCGATTTCTATAGCCTATACTCAACATGGGGTTTTGGGGTTTTGGGGTTTTGGGG